CCCAGCGAGGGGTTTGGGCTGCCTGGCCGCAGGGTGGGCTCCAGCCCGGGGCTGCGCACCGGCAGGACCCCCACCCCCTGCCCAAAGCAACAGGGCAGCTCGGGTCCTTGCTTGGGGCCGCACGTCTCTCCCAGCCCCTCCTCGGCTGCTGCCCAGCTGGAGAGCTGGGGACAAAGTGGGGGCTCCTTGTTGCGTTAGCTCCTGGAAGGCAGATGGGTGATGCTGCACCCCTGGACACGATCCCGCACAGCCACCCTGACAGCTCTGCCGCACGAGGAGCTGCCACCCTGCTGTGGCCATCTCACAGGTGATGCTGGCGTGGCCACCTCCAAGCCTGGAGCAGGGAGGGCTGCAGCTCCCCAGCCATGTCACCGCTGCCACACCGTGGGGTGTGTGCTGTCCGTGGCCCAGGGAGGCCGGTGTCACCCCCTCTGCAAGCTCCGTCCCCTCCTGCACCTTGGCTCTGCCACCCTGCAGCCTCTGGTGCTGAGCAGGGCTGCAGACGGGGTTGATGCTGGAAAGGGGTGAGGCTGTGGAACATGTGCAATAGTTTGGAGTCTTTCAAAATTTGCCAGGAAAGCCCAGGAGCAGAAGCTGAATCTTAATAAGAGCAGGTGAAATCTGAAGAAGAAATGCTTAAATGCAGCTAGTGCAGTTATCCAGTGGGAAGCAGCAGATGCCTGGTCATTTTATATCTTTGCATCAAACAGAGTGTTTCTTCCCAAAGGATACCCTGCACCAGCCAGGAGCCCTGGGTGTCACCGTGGAAGGGTCTTTGGCTCTTGCTGGGATGGAGCAGAGCACATTGCTCAGCCCCAGCCCTACGACAGGCAAGGTGTGGGGCTATGGGGCCAAGCCCAGAGCCCGGGTGTCAGCGCATCTGCCCGGCCACAGAAGCCATCACTGATTCAAGCTTAAGCAAATGGCTTCAGAGCAGCACCTTTAGCTAGATAAGCCAGTTCCTGAGGAAGGAAACAACTGGATGTTTTTAATAGGAAAAGCTTTAAATAGGAAAAGCTCCTTTCTGCTGTGTCAGTGGGGGTGGTGCACGTGAAGCTGGTGGGTTACACTAATGGAGACATGGGATTGCAGAGACCATCGGCTACAAAACAGGCTGGCCTGGAGATCTTCAGGTTCCCATGGATGTGACTAGTCAAGTGGCGCCAGCAGATAACGCCTGGGGAGGTCGTGCCTGCATCCTCTCCGAGGGCTTTCTGCAATGGCCCCCCACGCCGGGGGCACAGCTCCGCTGCCCGCTCCCTGGCCCTCCCTTATCTCCCCACGCAGACCTGCGTCCTGACCTCACGCAAAACCAAGCCCTGCGCCTGGGCCAAGGATAAAGAGCTGCCCAGGTGATGGGACCCTTGTCTGGCGGCCTCGCTCTTTGCACGGCACGGCTCGCTCCAGCGGCTGGACTCGTCCGCAAGCACTTGGCCAAGTAAGTGGTGCAAAATGCTTTTTTTGCTCTTTAAAGTGTGTCGGGAGGGCGGCTCTGGGAAGCTGCTGACCTTTGCCTTGCAGCAAGGAGCAGGAGAGGCTGCAGTGCCGTGAGCTGGGTGCGTGCCTGCATGTCCCTGCACTCCTGGGTGGTGGGACAAGCAGGGGACCCCACTGAGGTCCACAGCAGCCAGACGGGCTGAGGGAGGGTTTTAAAAGAGCTTTGCAGTTCAAAACTGTTTATTTTCATCCCCATGCACTCAGTCCAGCCGTTCCCACCTGCGCATCTGACCCATCACGTGCCCGCACCCCCGGCTCCTGCACCTGAGTCTCCCTGGGCAGAGGACGTGCAGGGATCAACAGCGGCTTCTGCCCTGGGGAAACCCGCAGGGCAGCTGGCACATACCTCACTTCCCAGCGTTTTTTCTTCAAACCCAGTGGCTTTCAGCCTCCTGTATTTGCTGACCTCTCAACATTTTTCAGAAAATAATTTTTCATAGCAAACTTACCCTCCCAGCATACGTTTTTTTGCACGGTCAGATTTGATGGACACCCAAGAAACAACCAACAGCCTTTTCCCCTGCTCCCACCCAGGACTATGAATCACAAGCTGGAAGCTACTGTCGTGGTACAACGCTCAGAGATGTTAAAACCCAGCTAATGTGTTAGCTGCATATTTCCAAATGACTTGATGGAAGTGGTGGGCTTTATGTGGCTGCTGGTGTGTGTGTGTCGGTGACTTCATCTCCAAACTGCCCTAAATGTTAGGTATTAAACAGTCAATCTGTGGACATCACATAGCCTTTTAATGAGCCTCACCCTAAAGCTTGGCTGCTGCTCAGAAGTCAACTGTTTCTATCTGACAAAGCTGCATAACCAAGGCCAAAATATGATGTGATCAGCAAGAATCTCAAAAATTACATGCTTAGAAGCAATGTTTTAAATAACCCTCCTGAACTGAGAGACGCACCAGTGAAATAGCGAGTCCATCCAGCACAGTGTGGAAATTCTGAATAAACAAGGTCATCTGGTCTTGGCTGGCTCCTGGGACCCTTGCTGATCCCTCATTAGCAAGTGCAGGGTTGATTGCTTCTGTTGTTGCATGAATGGGCCACTGCCCTGCCGAGTAACTGGACCCACTGGGGCAGCACTAATGGGCAGCAGCACTGTGCCTTCTTCACCCAGACAGATGCCAAGCCTGGAGCCTAAACATGGGAGCAGAGAACAGACCGTCCAGCCCTTGTCCCTCCTAGAGCGTCTCCCAGTGCCAAGCCCTGAGCTGACTCACTCTCCCTTCCTCTCCATCCCTCGGTACCAATGGCAGTGAACTCTTGTAGATGCAGCGTACGTTGGTTTGCACAGTCTCTCTTTTTCTTGTAAAATGAGTTATGATATGTGAATAGAAGAGTCCTGAGAGCTGAACAAAGCGTGATACCACAGTTCATGAGCTGTGGACAGAAATTTTTTTGTTCTTCATAATTTATTTTTGAAACCTTTTCTTTCAGGACAATGTATCAGCATTTACTTTTCCTTTTCTTCCTCTCCTTCCATCCCCATAAATGCCAAGATCAAATCCTGGGTGAAGATCCATATGAAATGCCTGAAGACTACCAGGAGGTCTACAGAGGGACAAAAAATGATGTCAAAGAGATCCCAAAGATTGCAAAGCCCTTCATTTCAGAGATGATCTTCGTGCAAACCAGCATCACTGCTATAAGGAAAGGTGCCTTCAGGTACATGCCCAGCCTGATCAAGATTTTGTTTATTGGCAACAAGATCAAGACAGTAGAACCTGGAGCCTTTGATGGTTTGGAGAAGCTGAGGGACTTGGAGATCTCTGGTGCCTCCTTAGAAGAACTAGCTGTGGGCACTTTCCAAAACCTCCTGAGCTTGCAAAGGCTGGAGCTGAGAGACAGCCACCTCAGACACATCCCCAAAGGTCTGTTTGATGGGCTGGAGAATTTGAGAGAGCTGTCCCTGCACACCAATGCAATCCCTGCTCTTCCAGAAGGCATTTTTGATTCTCTTGTCAATCTAACATTTTTGGACCTGGCTAGAAACAGGATCACGGCTCTTCCTGGGGATGCCTTTAGCAAACTCCCCCATCTGCAAGTCCTCCGTCTGTATGAGAATGAGCTGCAGGACCTCCCGGAGGGGCTGCTAGATGGTCAGCCAGGGCTGCTGGAGCTCAGCCTCCAGAGGAACAGTCTCAGGGCGCTGTCACCCATGCTCCTGAGGAGCCTGCCTCACCTGGAGAAACTGCTCTTGGACAACAACCTCATCGGGGCTCTCCCGCTCCAGGGCTTTTTTGGTCTAAACAAATTGAAGCTGCTGACTCTGGATTCAAACCACATCGCTGAGCTCCCCTGCTGCCTATTTGACACCATGCCACACATGCGTGAGCTGGACCTGAGCGAGAACCATTTGGCCACACTTCCAGAGAGCGTCTTTGTCAACCTCACATCTCTCGGCAAACTTATCCTGTCACACAACCAGCTAGCAGCCCTGCCAAGAGGAGCCTTCACTGGGCTCAGCAAACTCTCGGACCTCCAGCTAGACAGAAATCAGCTCTCTGCTCTGGATGGTGAAGTCTTTGCTTCTCTCCCAAATCTGAAAACCCTCAACCTTAGGAAGAACCAGCTGGAGAGTGTCCCCCGAGGGCTCCTGGACCCCCTGAAGAAGCTCAGCTCAGTGTATCTGAGTGGAAACCCATGGAGATGTGACTGCAACCTCTGCTACTTGCACAGCTGGATTCTGGACAACAGTGAGAAAGTTAAATTATCCAGCCAAGTGTCATGCAAGAATCCACCCCACCTGGCAGGGCAAGCAGTGACATCGCTGAGGGACGACCACTTAATTTGTTTAGCTACTCTTCCTCTTTCAGCTTCTTTTACCCCATCTCTGCCATTCACCTCCACATCATCACAAGGGTTGTCAACTTTGCTGTCACCTGGAACCTTGTCCACTGCAGCATCAACCATACTGCCAACTGTGCTGTCACCTGTGACTACCTCTGCCATGTTGCCAACCGTGCCAGTGGACACCTTTGTCACTGCTCCATCACCAACCATGCCATCTAAGGCCTTCGTCACCACTCCATCACCAGCTGTGGTGCCCAAGGCCTCCATCGCCATACCATCATCAACTCTTCTGCCCAAGGCTTCCGTGAACACACCATCATCAATTACGCTGCCAGAGGCCTCCATTGCCACCCCATCACCAGCTGTGCTGCCAAAGACCTCCATCAGCACACAATCATCAACTACGCTGCCCAAGACCTCAATCACCACGCCATCATCAACCATGCTGCCCAAGGCTTCCATCAACACACCATCACCTTCTGTGCTGCCAAAGGCCTCCATCACCACCTCATCATCAACTGTGCTGCCCAAGACCTCAATCACCACATTATCATCAACCATGCTGCCTAAGACCTCCATCAACACACCATCACCATCTGTGCTGCCAAAGGCCTCCATCACCATCTCATCGTCAGCTGTGCTGCCCGAGTCCTCCATCACCACCCTGTCACCAACTGTGCTGTCCAAGACGTCCATTAACACACCATCACCATCTGTGCCACTGGAGGCCTTCAGCCTGTGTTCAACTCCAGCCATCATAAGCCTACAGCCTCCTGAGGCCACCAGCCCAGAGCCTGCACTGTCCGCTCTACCTTCTGCCCCCATGCTGGTGCAAACCAGCATGCTGGCAGCCACCACCAGACAAGTGCCACCTGCTCTTCTGGTGCCCACGGAGAAGCCAGATGCTGTCGCATGGGGGACACCCGGCGTCTCCCTTGTCTCAGCCCCTCCCATGGCACTCTGGACAGCCCCCAGGGTAACTGCCCTGGGCATGGTCCCGCTGGCCTCACAAGCCCCATCCCGCCATGCTCCTGAGCCAGACGGGGAGCAGGACAGTGGCACGGCGTGGGGCT